AATAACAATATTTAATTTGCCTCTCATGCATTTAATGGTGTAAAATTGTTAGTTCATGTTGTTTTCAACCATCGGAGTTAAGACGGGCATAGGATGCTTGGCTTTACATCTCCGAGACGACGGGTGGGGAGAGGGGGTCCACGGGCGGGAGAGGGTCGGGGTTGATTGATTGGTAGCTCCATGGGTCCTAGCAAAGGTCCGGTCACTGCAACTTCAACTGCAACTCAGATCCCCACCTACGCTATGACCTCATCTCTAGCCCACACAAGACAAACACACTCTTGTCCCACTTCGCATTTTAAGGTTTTTTTTCTCTCTCGTTAATTTACTTTTCATTATTTAAAAAAAAARTTTAAGAAATCTAAACTTGGCCGTAATTATGTTTCAACTAATCATGGGCATGGGCAAAGACGAAGCACAAGATCAGCCATCTGATTCGAGATCATGAATGATGATGATGATGAACAGTACAATAGGATTGGTAGGGGACCCACGACCCTCGTTGAATCTGAGCCATCGAATGTGGGGATGATGGAGATGGGAGATGGGAATGCGAAATGTGATCACCTCCGCAACAGTGGGGGAGGAGGTGAGAGCGACGGAGGGATTATTTTCTCCACCCAATTATTTGCTTACGTCCATATATTTATTATTATCAAGGACTTTTTTATTCACCCTTTAACCGGTCCTCCTTTTGACACGTGGCTCCAACCGGACTGGGCCCTCCGACCACGTGGAGTGTGGGTCCCCTTCTGTTGACGTTAGCAAACGCACGGGACCCACTTCACGGGATGTAAAAAACTGACGCTATCGATGAATCCAAAGGAGAAGGAGAAGGAGAAGAGCGTGCGGGAATAATTATCTACTACGTGCAATGCGGTCGTTTGACTCCTTGGTCTTCAATTTTCCCAACATGGTTGATTAAATCGAGCATGTAAAATCGTACGGCTCCCAGCCCGGTTTCTGTTTCCATCTCATTGGAAAGAACGTGGGCCCCTGAGGCTTTACGTGAAGCTGACCTCACCTGATCACAACCCATTACCCCCCAAACTTTTAACCATCGCATTTCTAGAATTGGAAACTTCCATCTCCGACCTCGCTTGACCTCCACGCGCTTCCGAAAGAGCGTCCCATTCAATTACCATACCCATCCTTAACTGCTTCGCTTTCTTAATATTTAATTACTTTTTGTTTTTTCTTTCAATTTTTACAGTTTAACGTAAGTTCGTTGGTTGGCAATGGCATCTTCTGTTATTCTCACCCCATGCACCTGATTGGAGATGAAATGAAATCGAAATGAATCCCAAATTCACATGAAATTTAAGTCTCCGATCCTTGATTTATTAGACCTGCAAGAATGCTATATATATATAAATTATTCATTCTCCAATCCCAAACCAACACCCACTCTCCACTCTCCTGTGGCCTTTTTCGTTGCTATCGATGTTTTGTATTTTTTGATAAATTGTTTATTTTAGTTTGATGGAGTCGTCGTAGTGGTTTTCCAAACTCTACTGGGCAGTGGAGAGCGAGATCACGCGCCTCTGTTTTCCGAGCAGAGTGTCGCACAATTTTGTGGCCGGCGGATGGCAAAAGGCCGGAAGTTGAGTATAAGCCGGAGTGAGCGCTTCCTCGGGAGCTATAGCAATGGTTACGCTCAAGGCTCCAATGGAGACGACAAAACGGAGCTCCGTGAAGAAGATGTGTGGTCGATGATTGAAAGCGCGGCCAACGGAGAGGATCTGGAGAGCGACAACAATTCGTATCCGCGATTTCCGGCGGAGAATTRTGGGAACATTACCCTCAGGACCCGCCGCAGAACAACGCCGCGCGATGGACGGAACGTCGGCGAGGTGTCGCTTGCTTTTCAAGATTCCGTCATGGGGACGGCGTCGCAGAGGGATTTCGTCAGACAAATCCAAGGAAATGAAGGCGTGATGAGTAATACTCCACGTGGACGCCACGTGGCTGCATCCGCTCCGGTGAGCGTGCCGGATTGGAGCAAGATTCTGCGGGCGGAGTCGGTGGAGTCGCTGCCGGAGCTCGACGACGTGAGGTATAACGATGAATCGGAGATGATTCCGCCGCACGAATATCTGGCGCGTGAATACGCGAGGAGCCGGCACGGGGCRGCGGCGACGTCGGTTTTCGAAGGGGTCGGCCGGACTCTGAAAGGGCGAGACATGAGGAGGGTTCGGGACGCAGTGTGGAGTCAGACCGGGTTCGATGGTTAATTAAAATTTTATGGGTACAAATAAAATTAAGTTTAATGATTGGGGTTTTTATATTTTTCCCCTTTTTGGGGTTTGGGCAGTGATTCGGCCGAGTGGACTCGCTCAAACCGAGTCGACTGGTAGCGAGTGAGCCAAACATAATTCTTCAGTCAACTCTTCTTCGACTGGGTATATCGGGATCGGAAATTGWATCGTTGTTAGCTCGTGTTCATGAACAGTATTTGTTTGTTAATTATTAACTCTAATAAGTAATAAATACTTCACATCAAAAGATAATTTTATAATATTCAAGAGAATTTAATAATTTATAATTATCCGTTCATCCATATGAATGCCCAAGTACGAAGGRAAAAAATGAGTACGATGTCTTAAAAAATGAAAGTTCTAAATCAAATGACCATGTTACAATTGACCTTGATATTTAAAAAACTAAATTAATTTGAAATAAATCTGATGTTATTGAATGGGTCTCAAGGTTCTTTCAACAATAAAATGTATTGAATTAAATCAAAATTTCATAGTTTTTTAGATTTGTAAATGTTTAGAACAATCTAATACTTTAAGATAAATGAATTTTGTTGACATAGAATAGAATTTTATTAGGTCGGGTTAGGGTGTGGAAGTAAACGTACGTATTAAAAACGCCATTTTTGTTTTGATGACACAAGGTGGAGATAAGATAACATGGGATATTATGCGAGTGGATCCAAGGAGAACGAAAATTGCTTTTAATGGAAGGTGATAGACGGTGACACGAGGGCAGCGGGTCCCACATTAGCTAGAAATAACCAATCCTTAGCGTTTTTATGGGCCTTTGAAAAGACACGATAGAGATCCATGGGCTTCTCATTTCCACTTTCAGCCCGACATTGAACCTATATTTATAACAAATGGCAATAGGCTCGTTCAAGGGACAAAATAAAAGAAAAACTGAATCTTCCAAGACATTAAGATTGTTAAGTATTATCACTCATCTTATAACAATATTAAATAGCTTCAATTGGAACTAATTGTAAAAGTAATGTTCATCATAAATTCATGATTCTATTTTATTAAATACGCCTTCCCAAATCACCATTTTAGTTCTGTGTGCATAAAATCCCGTCTTAATACAGTTGAAAATTGGAGTGGTAATATGATGAAATTCCTCTAGTATTGCAAGCTACAATCATTGTATACTAAAAGAAAGAACGTTACAGAGTCGCATGAAGTTGAAATGAAATAAACTTAGATAATAGATTAAAGATCTACGAACGAACTGCAGTACAAAATTAGCGAACGGCCGTGTAACTTAATATCCTTTACCTGAACAGAACTGTCATTTCCTATTACAGAATCGATAAACGAATTCACGTGATGTTGGAGTGAATATCAATCCATTGGATCAGAAAACTGAATGAACTGCAATTAAATACCCTGCTACCTTTTCAAATTGTTGGTGAATTTGATTGGGAAGGGGAATCCATTAGCAGCTGGACCGTAGAAGAATGAGCTCATCTTCCCCTCCGATGTACCAGAAACAAATGATTTATTTAAACATCTGAAAACAGGTTCAATTTAGCAAAGATTTAATGCACAACAATCGGGTCAATGAAATTGAAACAAAAAGAAATGTAGTTCTCCGACGTCCAAAGGCATCATGTTAAGTGAAACTCTGGATAGCGAGGAGAACATAACTTTAGGCCACACAATTGGATCCTGCTTCATCGATTAGAAAGCTAGATACAAATCAAGATCTTAACAAGTGAGGCCAAAGATTAACATGAATAGCGAAATTCCACAATCTACACATAAATTACGATCATAAAATAGTAAAGAACACAAAAAATCCTAGCATTTTGACAAACAATCGGAGCACAATGGAGAAACTCAGTCCCTTAGATGTTCATATTAGATTGCGATCATATTCGCAAATCATAACAGGTCTGATAGACTCATCACCGTTAATACAGCACTCCGAATCATAATTTATCGAGCGAAAAGAGTAAATAATTTTGTTTCGACGAGATGAAAAAAATCAAGAACTAAGGAAATAATAAGAAATGGTGTAGTTACTCCCGTGTTCTCAAATAGTAAACACTGCAAGAGAAGTTATGAAAACAGGATGTAACACAATCAATCTTGCTTCAAGGGAACGAGTCAAATGGGAACTGATTGAATCCACATTCGCCAGATGATGAAGCATCAAAACGCTAGAAATCGGAAACGATGAACAGAAGCAGATGATGCATTTCAGAAGTAACCGATAAATCCCAGACGGTATCAATAAGTCAATCCCTCAAACCCTTCCATAGAGAGGAAGAGAGGGAGATTGGAGAAACCGTAGCCGAGGGGAAGAACATGGTTATGAAATCGGCGATGAGGCCATCGGGTTTTAAACAGATAGCGAGGCGGCGGAGTCGCACCTATTAGGTTTCGGTGTTGCCCTAATTTGCTAAATAGTTATGGGTCGAATAGTGGGCCGGCCCAATCACGCGACAAACATGTGTGGAAGCTGCGTGAAGGAGTTCGAATGCGATATGTCGTCACAATAACATGGAGAATGCTACTTTAACTTTAAAATTAATGGTTATCAAAAAAAAAATTAAAAATTAAAAATTAATGACGGCTTTCTTGTAGTACAATGAATGTTTAACCTCAAGAACATTAATAAATATCTTTTTTTAGTAGCGGACCTATCACTATAATACTTTATTCAAATATATAGTTAAATTCATTAATTGATGATTTATCTTTCGCGTAAACGCAAGTCATAAAAACCTGYACACCACATATAGCAGCAGCYTTTGTAAGGAGATATCTTGAATTTACTCTGGACATCTTTTACAGGCCCACTAAAACAATTTGTTTTATAAATTATTCTCTTATTGTATATTCTTACATGTGACGTCACAAGTGCAATGATTTGTTATCTAAAAAAAATAATGACTGGATCTTAAATTTGGGAGTTGAGAAATTAGATATTAATCCCATATTGGTGACATGATTTTTATTAAAATTTAACTTTTTAGGAAAAGTTTAAATCATATTTTAGTTTTTATTGCATTTAAAATTTGTACTTAAAACTGTTTTACAAAATGCTATATGTAATTAGTTCATAAGTTTTTCTATTTTAGTAACTTTTTTTAGTATAAATTCGAACGATGACCCCTCGATCAATGTTAATTATGGCTGAGTTAAGTTTATGTTAATAGTAACTATTAAATTTTCTAACCTATTAAGTTTTGTTTTTTTTTATACCACTGCAAAATTATATAATTCTTGAGATATTTTGTTTTAATATATAAACTTTGAAATAATAGTTGGTTAAAACTTAAGAAAAAAATTACACTAAATTTGTTTTATAGTCCATGTGTTAAATAATTTAAATAAAAACTAAAATTATTTTGTAGGCAGAGTCTAAGAATTAAAACACAATATCTAGAAATGAAGTTCATTTCTTTCGGGGTAACATTTGGGGCATGTGATGAAAGTAATTAAAAAGATTTTGGATGAACAAGTTGAAACTCTATAGCCGTCAATAGCCGTCGTTTAGGAGATTAAAATATTCCTTAAAAAAAACTAAAATATTGCAATTTTTGGAACAACTAGCCCTCTTTGCTAAGTTTTTATGTTCTAAAATATATTTATTTTCTCGCCATTTCTTCAATATATTTTAAAGAATGACTTATTCATCAACACTAAACAATTTTATTAAATGAAATTCAATAAACAAATCGAGAGGGGTTTAAACTTCATGATGACCACTTACTTTAAGAATTAATTCTCATGTCATTCTTGTCACCAAATATGTCAGGGTATCTCGTGAAATTAGTCTAAATGCACACGCTAGTTGGTCCACACACTCACRGATAAAAAAAATAATAAATAATTTTTTTAAAAAAATGATCATCACGTGCTTTTGTCAAAATTGCACAAAATAACCTTGTACCAAAATTCTTAAAATTTTTCCTTGGTGTTTTTCAAAATTCGTACAATTTTTAGTAGGATTGTTAATAGTCCAAATCTAATATTTTAATGTACTAAAAAAAATCAAATATTGTATTAATAATTAGGAATAAAGAAAAAGATATTACATCACGGATCACTTCGTGATGTAATATCTTAGTATTTTCATTTCTTACCTCTTCATACAGTACTCCATTATTATATATAATATAACTGCATTTTTGGTGACTTGGGTAGAAATAATTAGGAACAACTGAACAAATATTTCCATAACTTTTAACTTGTTTACGAATATGATATCATTTTATTTCATTAAAATATAGGAATATAATATATGTTTATTGATTTATTTTAATTGTCTTTTGTCTCTTACTCTTTTCTCTAACCTTACGATTTATTTTCTTTTAGAAAAAAATTAATCTTCTTTAAAATTTGTGTCTCTACTTTTTTTTTTAAAAATGTGTGTTATTTCTATATTCTTAACTTTGATCCTTAAATTTTAAAGATATTTTATTAATTTTAAATTCTGGTAAAAAATTTTAAAATAAGCAAATAAATTTCTCAAAATAATGTTTTAAAAGTATAATAATAATAAAAAAAACAATAAAATAATAGAAAGTATAATATATTTGTTTTAATAAGTTGTAAAAAATCATTCTTAAAAAATCTGTATTTGAAAAGATACGATTTAGAGAAAAGAAATCCTGTGTGGGCCCTCTTCTGCGTAACGCATTCTTTTGGCGCGGCCTCTGACACTCTGTAACGACTATTTTGTACTTCGTCTCTTCATATTCTCTTTTCTTTCTTCGCAAGAATACATCGTCTCTTCTTCACTTCTCTTTTCTTTCTCCCCAAGAATCCATTTTAGTCTCTTAATTTTTATTTTTCGATGCCTATTCTGCGTCTGATTGTTTCTATGGCTGTGGAGGAAGAACAGCAGAAGAGATTCAAATCGTAATTTTGGTCAAAACTAGGTACGAGATCATCATTTGAAGAAAGAAAATCTAAAACCCTTTATTTTCGACTATTTTCTCCCTTGTCTAGTGTCTAATAACTTCGATTGTTCATGGCTCGTCACTTAGTTTGATTGTTGATGGCGGTTGAGGCAGAAGGAAGATCCAAATCTAAGGAACAGGTCTAGTACTTGAATTTTTGGTCAAGGTATGAGATGAAAACATTTCTGATTTAATTATTTTTAGTTCTATTTTCGAGATTTTTTTCCCTGCTCCTTTTTTAACCACACTTTTCCTCCATAGATGTTGCCCATGGCTGCGGAGGAGCAGACAACCAAAACAATGTAGTTTCGTTTATGGCTTTTGGGGCAAAAAGAGGATTCAAATCGAAGAGAGAAGTCGTAGTTCCTGAAATCTTTGTCATAAGGTACGTATGAAATTTTTGTGGGGGCACTCTTTCTGTTTCGTCTCTTCATATTATGCGTCTACGGAATTTCGAAGTCGATCGTCTCTCTCTCTGTCTCGAAATCGATCGTCTCACTCTCTCTTCTTCACTTCTCTTTTCGATCTTTCTCAGAATTCTGAATTAGCTCTGCTTATTCATGGGGTTCGACCGATATGGAGGAGAAACGTACGCTTCTTCATGGCTGTGGAGGCAGAAAGGAAGACATCCTAATCGTAATTTCGGTCAAAATTAGGTACGCGATATCATCATTTCTGATGGAATATAATAATCACAATAAAGAAATAAATTGGATCATTAGTTGTGAAACTGTAGTGAATTAATTGTTACCTCTGTAACGTACTCTGTCTAGGGATAGGGGTTTGCTCTGATTGTTCATGGCTGTGGAGGAGAAACGAAACGGAGGTAGTTTGATTGTTGGTGGTCGTGGAGGCAGAAGGAAGATCCAAATCTAAGGAAGAAGTCTAGTACCTGAGATTTTGTTCAAGGTATGACTCGATGAACATTTCTGATGACTTAAATGATTAGGAAAGAAAATCTAGAATCGTATGAGATGAACATTTTTTACGACTAATTAACTATCAGTTTTGTGTTTGTGTAACATGTTATTAGACTTTTATGATTTTATTTTTTATTTTTTGACAAATTTTATGTCAAACATGTCTCATGTTTAAAAGGTCTCTGGTTCATTTTACGTTTTTTAAATTCATGAAACTGTTTGGTGTCTAATAAATAATAATATTCTAATAATTCAATTTTATTTCTGATAAATTTAAATTGAAAGTAAAAATTTATTAATAGTATTAGACACAATCTAATTTAACCTTATAAATATTATGAGTTTTCTGTTAAAACTATTTATCTTATTATGGTCTTCTCTCTCTGTTAGGAATAACATTGTATATGGTGCCTCCTCATAGGATATGTGATCCGGGTACGTCTCTATGACTTGTCTTTCTGTATATTTAAGAATTGGATTGCATCATTTATATACCATACCATATGCCTGCTTAATTATTATTATTTTTTTATTTTTATAAAAATATATATGCTGCTTACTTTATTCATTTTCACTCTTTCTAGTTTCTATCTCTTTTTGTTCCAAAATTTTTTTACCTCTCAATTTGTTTCTTATTAAGATTTTTGCCCCAAGCTCCTTACAATTTTTTTCTCTAATTTTTTTTATAACTATTTTCCATTTTTTTTCCTCCCTCTGAGCCTCTCTCCATCTAACTCTTTTTCTCTCTAAAATTTGTTACCTCAAAATTTCTCCAAAATTTTTTACCTCTTTATTCTCTATGATGTGTTTCTCTTTAAAAGTTTTGTCCCTCTCTTTTAGACTTTTTTTTTTGTTTGTTTAATTTTTTTACCTCTCTCACTTTCTCTATAAAAATTTTTTATCATCCTTTCCAACTTAATTATTTTCTCCATAACTCTTTTTTCTTCTAAATTTTTTAATCTCTTTATATTTTTCTCCAAACTTTTTTCTCAAACCTCTTTCTAATTTTTTGTTTTTTGAAATTTATTTGTGATTACAAAATCTTTTTGCAAATATTATTAATTTTTCTTCAAATTATCATCTTTATCTCTTTTCAAAAGTATTTTACAATTTCGAACTTTTTCCTCTCTTTATTGTTGGTAATTTACTCTCTAAAATTTTTCTCAACCTTTTTCTAACATTTTTTTAAAAAAATTTCTTCTTTTTTTCCTTCTAGTTTTATAACTTCTTCTGTCCCAGAATGTTTTTTCTTCCAAATCTTTAACTTTTTTTTTAACTTTTAATTTTGTTTTTCTTCTCTCTCAAAATTTTCTCAACCTCTTTCTAATTTTGATTTTTTGAAACTTACTTATGATTAAAAAAATCTTTTTACAAATATTTATTCATTTTTCTTCGAACTTTCTTCTTTATCTCTTTTTAAAAATATTTTGCAATTTCAAACGTTTTCCTTTCTTTATTTTTTGGTTGTTTACTCTCTAAAAATTTTGTCAACCTTTTATAACATTTTTTTTAATTTTCTACTTTTTTTTCCCTCTCATTTTATAACTTATTCTTTCCAAATTGTTTTTCCTTTCAATATTTTTCTTCCAAATGTTTAACTTTTGTTTTTTTACTTTTAATTTTGTTTTTCTTCACTCTCAAACTTTCTCAAACTTCTTTCTAATTAATGTTTTTTAAAATTTACTTGTGATTAAAAAATCTTTTTGCAAATACTGATTTTTCTTCCAAATGTTTAACTTTTTTTTTACTTTTAATTTTGTTTTTCTTCTCTCTCAAAACTTTCTCAAACTTCTTTCTAGTTATTGTTTTTTGAAATTTACTTGTGATTAAAAAATCTTTTTGCAAATACTTATTCTAACAAATTTTATTAAAAATTTTCTACTTTTTTTTCCTCTCGTTTCATATTTTCTTCTTTCCAAAATGGCTGTTCTTTTCAAGTTTTTTCTTCCAAATCTTCAACTTTTCTTACTTTTAATTTTGTTTTTCTTCTCTCTCAAAACTTTCTCAGAACTCTTTCTAATTTTTGTTTTTTGAAATTTACTTGTGAATAAAAAATTTTTTTGCAAATATTTATTCATTTTTCTTCAAACTCTCCTCTTTATCTTTTTTTAAAATATTTTGCAATTTCAAACTTTTTCCTCATTATATTTTTGGTTATTTACTATCTAAAATTTTTCTCAACCTTTTTCTATTTTTTTTTAAATTCTACTTTTTTTTCCTCTCCTTTTATAACTTCTTCTTTCATAAAGGTTTTTCTTTCAAGCTTTTTTTTCCAAATCTTAAACTCATTTTACTTTTAATTTTTTTCTTCAAACTTTCCTCTTTTATCTCTTTTTAAAAATATTTTGCAATTTCAAACTTTTTCTTCATTATATTTTTTTTGTTATTTACTCTCTAAAATTTTTCTCTAACCTTTTTCTAACATTTTTTTTAGTTTTTCTACCTTTTTTCATCTCGTTTATAACTTCTTTCCAAAACGTTATTCATTTCCAGCTTTTTTCTTTTCCAAATCTTTAACCTTTTATTTTTAATCTTCATTTTTTTTATCAAAACTTTTCAAACCTCTTTCTAATTTTTGTTTTTTGAAATTTACTTGTGATTAAAAAACTTTTTTGCAAATATTTATTTATTTTTCTTCATACTTTCATCTTTATTTAAAAAAATATATATTTTGCAATTTCAAACTTTTTCTTCTCTTTATTTTTGTTATTTACTCTCTAAAATTTTACTCAACCTTTTTCTAAGATATTTTTAAAAAATTTTCTAATTTTTTCCATCTCGTTTTATAACTTCTTGTTTCAAAAATGTTGTTCTTTTCAAATTTTTTCTTTCAAATGTTCAAATTTTTTACTTTTAATTTTGTTTTTCTTCTCTCTCAAAACTTTCTCACACCTCTCTCTAATTTTTTTTTTTAAAATTTACTTGTGATTAAAAAATCATTTTGCAAATACGTATTCATTTTTCTTCATACTTTCATTTTTTTTTCTTTTTTTAAAATATTTTGCGATTTCAAACTTTTTCTTCTCTTTATTTTTGGTTATTTACCCGCTAAAATTTTTCTCAACCTTTTTCTAACATATTTTTTAAAATTTGTCTATTTTTTTTGCCTCTCGTTTTATTTAACTTCTTCTTTCCAAAATGTTTTTCTTTTCAAACTTTTTCATCCAAATCTTCAACTTTTTTTACTTTTAATTTTGTTTTTCTTCTGTCTCAAAACTCTTTCTAATTTTTGTTTTTTAAAATTTACTTASTGATTAAAAAATCTTTTTGTAAATATTTATTCATTTTTCATCAAACTTTCTTCTTTTATCTCTTTTAAAAAATCGTTTGCAATTTCAAACTTTTTCCTCGTTATATTTTTGGTTATTTACTCTCTAAAATTTTTCTCAACCTTTTTTCTAACGTTATTTTTTTTTAAATTTTATACTCTTTTTTTCCTCTCCTTTATAACTTCTTTCCAAAATGTTTTTCATTTCAAGTTTTTTTTTCCAAATCGTTAACTTTTTTACTTTTAATTTTGTTTCTCTCTCCAAATTTTATCAAACATCTTTATATATATTTTTTTAGAAATTTATTTGTGATTAAAAAATCTTTTTGCAAAGTCTTATTCATTTTCTTCAAACTTTCATCTTTATTTCTTTTTAAAAATATTTTACGATTTCGAACTTTTTCTCCTCTTTATTTTGGTTATTTACTCTCTAAAATTTTTCTCAACTTTTTCTATCATTTTTAAAATTTTATACCTTTTTTTCATCTCGTTTATCACTTCTTCTTCCGAAATGTTTTTCATGTGAAGCTTTTTTTTTCCAAATCTTTAACTTTTTATTTTTTATTTTTATTTTTTTTCTTTCAAAACTTTTCAAACCTCGTTCTAATTTTTGTTTTTTGAAACTTTTTGCAAATATTTATTTATTTTTCTTCAAACTTTCATCTTTATTTCTTTTTAAAAATATTTTGCGATTTCAAATTTTTTATTCTCTTTATTTTTGGTTATTTACTCTCTAAAATTTTATTCAACCTTTTTCTAACATATATTTTTAAAAATTTTCTACTTTTTTTGCTTCTCGTTTTATAACTTCTTGTTTCCAAAATGGTGTTCTATTCAAGGTTTTTCTTTCAAATGTTATTCATTTTTCATTTTTCAATACTTATTCATTTTTCTTCAAACTTTCATATTTTTTTCTTTTTAAAAATATTTTGCGATTTCAAACTTTTTCTTCTCTTTATTTTTTGTTATTTACTCTCTAAAATTTTTCTCAAACTTTTTCAAACATAAATTTTAAAAATTTTCTACCTTTTTTGCCTCTCGTTTTATAACTTCTTCTTTACAAAATGTTTTTCATTTAAAGCTTTTTCTTCCAAATCTTCATATATTTTTACTTTTAATTTTGTTTTTCTTCTCTCTCAAAACTCTTTCTAATTTTTATTTTTTGAAATTTACTTGTGATTATAAAATCTTTTTCAAATATTTACTTATTTTTCTTCCAATTCATCTTTATTTAGTTATAAAAATATTTTGCGATTTCAAACTTTTTATTCTCTTTATTTTTTGTTATTTATTCTAAAAAATTTTAATCAACCTTTTTCTTACATATTTTTTAAAAATTTTCTACTTTTTTTGCTTCTCGTTTTATAACTTCTTCTTTCCAAAATATTTTTCTTTGAAATTTTCATATTTTTTTACTTTTATTTTTTTTCTCTCACAAAACTTTCTCAAAACTCTTTCTTATTTTTGTTTTTTGAAATTTATTTGCGATTAAAAAAATTTTTCGCAAATATTTATTCATTTTTCTTCAATCTTTCTTCTTTACCTCTTTTTAAAAATATTTTGCGATTTCAAACTTTTTCCTCTCTATATTATATTTTTTGGTTATTTACAGTCTAAAATTTTTCTCACAAATTTTCTAACATATATTTTTTTTAAGAATTTCAACTTTTTTTCCTATGGTTTATAACTTCTTCTTCAAACATGCTTTTCATTTCAAGTTTTTTTTTCCAAATCTTAAACATTTTTACTTTTATTTTTTTTTCTTTTCTCTCAAAACTTTGTCAAACCTCTTTGTAATATTTGTTTTTAGAAATTTACTTGTGATTAAAAAAATCTTTTTGTAAATTTTTATTCATTTTCCTTCAAGCTTTCTTCTTTATCTCTTTTTAAAAATATTTTGTAATTTCAAACTTTTTTCTCTTTTTATTTTTGGTTATTTACTCTCTAAAATTTTTCTCAACCCTCTTCTAACAAATTTGTTTAAAATTTTATAATTTTTTCACCTCTCGTTTTATAACTTCTTCTTTCCAAAATGTTTTTCCTTTCAAGCTTTTTCTTCCAAATCTTTAACTTTTTTTACTTTTAATATTGTTTTTCTTCTCTCTCTCAAACTTTCCCAAAACCCTTTCTAATTTTTATTTTTTGAAATGTACTTGTGATTATAAAA